GCTTATAAGCATTATTTGTCTTTGTTCAATATTTGATAAACAACAAGGATGAAATGATTTTGTGAGCGCCGTAAGCAGCTGTAAGCGCCAAACGAAACGCAGCCTGTATTGCGAGTTTCGTATAACGTGAAGCGTGAAGCGACTACGAAACAATGGCAGAAGAAAAAAGTGACAGGTAACGAGTACTTATCGCACTAAACTACATATGTTATATATTCTTTTTATGTACATCATATATATATCTATTAATATGTATATATATATATATATGTATATTTTTACCTCCCACTTGCATTCATTATTTATGCGCAGTGTACCGGGTATTGTAAGTTGAGGTTATGTTCTCTGGTTTAATTGTTGACAAACAATTAAAAGAATTGATATCTTGGAATTTGAAAATGGAAGAGTTGTACGTATAAAAAATTGATAACCTATAAACTTTGGATATTAGCAATTCCGAGAAATTAAAACTCCAAGAATTCTTAACTAGTTAGTAATTGAGGTAAAATTAATATTTCAAAAAAATTCTCTACAAATTTAAATAAATTGAAGTAAATCTTTAGGAGCTTGAATTTAGAGAATTTATAAATGTTCAAGAATTTATGAGAATTTAAAAATCCGACGAAATGAAATGTACAACTGCATATGACTGTAGAATTAGAGTTATTATAACCTATATGGTTATTTCGATGGTTAGTTTACGATAAATTAGTAATAAAAAATATATATAATTTAGTCCAAATGACAAGCCAGAGCAGACGGAGACTGCTGAGGAAAAGAAAATCAAGTCTGATGAGAAGCTGAAGCAAAGATCTAAGCAGGATGAAGCAGCGGAGAAAACTAATGTACAGAGTAACAACAACGAAAGTGGAAATTGTTATTGGTGATTATTCATTAATAAATCATGCTGGTGATATTTTATGTTTTACAACGCTGTTTTGACTTACCGTGGAACATACTTTACAGCGGCAAGGAAAGGAATCTAAACATTGTGGAATTACTTTGTGCTAGTTGCTCTCGCTGGTTCCATGAATCCTGCATTGGATACCAGTTGGGCAAGCTGGTACCGTTCATGATGAACTATGTATTTGTGTGCAAAAATTGTTCGCCAACTGGATTGGAAAGCTTTAAGAAGAACCAGGCGCGTGAGTATCGAGAATAACTGTAGCATTTATGAATTGTTATCAGGATTGGGAAGTAACACGTTTACTTGTAATGTCGTTACCATTTTTGTTACTTTTTTCTATTTATAACCGTAATATCGTTACATTTTTATGGTAACGAATTTGTCATTACTTTTTTATTCATTATTTTTTATCCGTTTATTTTCTTATTTTATATTTTATTTTTTGAAAAATATTTTGTATACTCTATATTTCTTAGGCTACATTCCGATAGTCACTACTAATATTAAAAAACTATAATTCACATTATATAAATATCGTAGATTTTCAGCGAATATTGAAATGCATTCTTAATAATGATATTAATGTTTAAAAACAACAAATATATTTAATCTATAGAAATAAGTAATATAAAGAAAAAAACATGCTCTTTTTGTAGTTATGTGCAGACTAGTTTAGAGAATTTCAAGTTTCAATATTTATTATTTACATTTAATAATTATAATCAAATAATATAAATTTAAAATCTAATTAAACTTATTTTAGTATTACAAAAAAGTAACAAATCATTACTTTTCAAGTAACGGTAACACATTTTTTTTAAGGTAATGCTTCCAACCCTGGTTGTTATATGATAAAATTCATTATCGAGCTATCTGTTATAATGTTTCTATTGGCGGCTCTTCCAGCATTTCCTCAGATGTGTGTAACAGCGATCGCAAACCTACTGCAGACGTGCCAAAAGGAGAATGAGCAGAAGACTCTTTTCCACAAGGACAAGGACATCATACCATTCATTGATTGTCATTGGGAGAGCATGACTACAATGCCTCGCAGAGCTACTCAGTCCTGGCATGCTACGGTATCCAAATAAAAATATCCGTCATTGTTACGACAGATTATGATAGACGCGATAATTTAGCAGTGTGCGAATTTTTTCACTTTTTATATCGTAATTCACCAGGAGTTCAACGATAAATTTCAAACTTTAGGCGACTCCCCGTAATTGTTTGCCTTTATCTTTGATAAATGTTTGATCTCCTAGATCCATAGAGCGCTCCTTAAAGACATCGGCATACTGTTTACGATGGACGAAAGTACGTCTGAGGGTCAGCTGTTCGGACTGGCGAGCTTTGAGCTCACGTCAATTAAACCGAATTACGAAGCAATGATCAAGAATGGTCACCTCCGAGCAACAGAGATGGGCATACAGCACGTTGGTACGTATCCATCACTTTTAAATTATTATTACTTCTATTATTATCAAGTTGAACTTTAATAGATTTATTAAAATTTTAATTTAAAATCATTAATTTTTTAAATATCAATTTGGTTTTAAATTAAAATTAAAATCTGTGATTAAAAATTCGCATTCAGAAAAATTTTATTTATAAAAGATTGATTCTTCCATATTCATTGTTAATTGAAAAATACGCGTGCAAAAGTTTAGAATTGTCCCGCTTATCTTAATCTTTGCATATAAGTATACGTTATTTATACTTTATATAAAATATTTTTTACTCCTATTGGAGTACAAAAAATTAAACGCATGTAATTCACTAAATTTTCAATTAAATTTTCGCTTTTTTCAAATTTTTCAAACATAGTATAACTAAAGTCAATTTTGGTCATAACTGTATATATGTAGATCTGTCATTCCTTATCTTATCACAAATGCAATCACCAACTCGCTATCAGCAAACTACTCAAGTTTGAATCATAACGGAGAAATCGAATAGGCATCTCAATAAACTTTGTTCTAAGGCACCTCATTATAAGGCCCGCAACGTTACTTTCAATATCGCCAATCATATCATTTATATATGGTTATCTATACAAGGAATTTATCGCTATGATAATGAATCAGTCCCCTGTTCAAAAAAAATTTAATTATCAAATTTTGAAATGTTAAAAAGAAGAAACGGTGATTAAAAAGGGGAAAACAGAATTAAGACCTGATATTGTTCACGAAAAATATTGAGTGAATCGAACATGTTTACGTATTAAAATATCGTGATGGAACGTTCAGTGCCACTTAGCGGAGGATTGCGAGGTCGTAACGCCAAGCGAAAGCTCCCAGGTGAAGCTGCGGGTACGGGTTCCGGGAAAAAGGGCAGAGGATCCGACATGACCACTCCTAAGCTGCCGGCTCATGGTTATCCACTCGAGCATCCCTTCAACAAGGACGGCTATAGATACATTTTAGCAGAACCGGATCCTCACGCGCCTTTCCGACAGGTATACTACAGTTTTTTATATCAATCTTTTTTTAATTTTATACAAATTATTGTCTTAGAAAAATTAAGACTCCGCCTCCACATATATATATATATATATATATATAATTTCAAGAACTTAGTAGTTTTAAATGATTAATGAAAATTGTTTGACATTTTATTAATATGTAAAAAATTTAAACATTAACTTTATATTATAATATAAATTTAATATACATTTAAACATTACATCATAATCATAGTGTATTTGTATTTTATTTTATTAGGAATTTTGAAAAAGCAATTTCTATATCCTACAGTCGAGGGATTAAGATCCTGAATCTCTGAATGAACAATAACATTTCAAACTATATTTTGTAAATTCCCTGAATATTTTGTGTTTAGGAATTTGACGAAAGCAGCGATTGGGCTGGTAAACCTATACCTGGATGGCTCTATCGCGCTCTCAGTCCGAGTACGGTTTTACTTGCATTGCATGATCGTGCGCCGCAGCTCAAAGTAGCTGAAGACAGATTGGCGGTCACTGGAGAAAAAGGATATTGCATGATCAGAGCCACGCATAGTAAGAGAATACTGTTTGTCTATTGATTTATTAAAATGACAGCGTCCTTTTTTGTCTCAGGGACTGAATTTTGTTGACAATGTATATTGATTATTGATATCATATATTTTTATAAAAATTGCAATATTAAAAATCTTTAATTATATAAATATTTAATGTCAAATACGAGAGAGAATGTATAATTAGAATATGTTCCATAGTATCGACTTATACTTAATTTTTTTATAATCTGATTAATTTGAAACTATTGATATTCAATATAATAATAATAATAATAATAATAATAATAATACCATTGTTGTAGATGTCAATATTATTGAAAAATTTTGCATACAGATACATAATGAGTAATTTTTATATTGTTTTTATTTCCATGTTTTAACGACATTTGCATTTTATTTGTTCTTGTATTTCACGCATCTGGAATATTTGCTATAGTTGATTGGTGATGCTTTATACAATTCCATTCTAATCTAATTACATTAACAATAGGCGTAAGCAGGGGTTCTTGGTACTGGGAAGCCACGATTGAAGAGATGCCAGAGGGATCTGCGACAAGACTCGGATGGGGACAGGAATACGCAAATTTGCAAGCTCCGCTTGGTTACGACAAGTTCGGCTACTCATGGAGATCTAGGTATTAATACAGAGATGTTCGAAAAGTGTGGCATTTAATATTTCGGAAATCAAGCATTTTTGAGAAAAATGTTTTAGGCAAAAGTTGTTAGGTTTAAAAGAATCTATTTAATGATTTTATCAGTGATTTGATCTTGGGTGGCATCATCAAGGATTATCGATCAAGGTTTATCGATTTTTTTTTATGGGACACTGACTATAGGTCATGACCATTGTACATTGTTCCTCTTTTTTTCAAAAAATAAAAATGGTTTTCAAAAATGAAAGTAAAAGCAACAACTTTTCTGATCTTAACATATGTTGTCTCCAGGTCATGATCCTGAACAACATTAAAAAGTTTTAGCCATTGTTCGGACACCTTGGATAATGCTAATGCTGGCGGTATTGTAACTTTCAAGCTTCATAACTCGAGATTGACTTAACCAAAAAGTACTTTATTATAATGCTTTGGAAAGCTCTTGACACCAGCTATTAGATTCTAGAATAAAAAAAAAGTAAATTCATTTAAAAAAATTAATGTGACCTTTACTTGACATTAATGATACCACCCAAGGTCAAACTGATAAAATCATTAAATAGATTCTTTTAAACTTTACAACTTTTGTCTATATCATTTTTCTCAAAAACGCTTAGTTTTTGAAATATTAAGGGATTACCACACTTTTTGGACATCTTGTATAATCAAGATTACACTCTATATTTTAATTGTGTATCACTCAATAATTTTGATTATTTCTCACTCTTGTTTTGAAAGACATAAAATATAAAATATAAAAAGGTATAAAATGCATAACAATTGATTTGTTGGAAAATGTAAATTTATTAAAACAACTCTTCTATTATTCTTTTTATGTAATAAGAAAAATGTATATTTATTGGAGTTCTGAAAGTACTATTTATAGAAAGTACTATTCCGTTCAAGAAAAGAAAAAAAAAGTTGAATAAATTTTTGACAGAAAAGGAACACGATTTCACGAAAGCCGTGGCAAGCATTATAACGATAGTTATGGCGAGGGTGATACCTTGGGTTTCCTCATAGTTCTTCCGGACACTCACGATGCATCACACATTCCGAATACTTATAAAGACAGAGTGAGTATAGCAAGCCATTTGAAAAAATTAAATTATATTGAATAATTTCGTATATATATCGAATATGTATGTACATACATATATTTAATAATTATTTTGTATTTTCCAATTTAGCCCTTAGTAAAATTCAAGAGTCATTTGTATTACGAGGAGAAGGATCAAGTGCAGGAAGCCTTAAAAGCTCTACGTCCTTTAGAAGGCAGTAAGATTGTATATTACAAAAACGGAATCAACCAAGGTAATGCTTTCATAGATGTCAACAAAGGCGCTTATTACCCAGGGATTTCTCTCTACAAAAGTGCGATGGTGTCCGTGAATTTTGGACCAAATTTTAAATATCCTCCAATGGATGTTACGTTTAGAGGCGTAAGTAAACTCACATTTCTTTCTTATAGCCGACAATACTAATTCACAATCATAAATTGAGATTCTTATCTTATAAGATATAGCTGAACATATAGAATTTTCAATTCATGTCGACTTAAAGTAAAAATTTTGTATTTTTATTATTCAGGATCTGTGCAGATTTTTTCTCTTATGTATATTGTATTATTCATCTAACTTGAAATTTTATAAAGAAGCTGTTTTCTATAATTGTGAATAACAGCGTTGATTCTTACTAACGTTAACGATGTTATGCAATTATCATAGATGCACGAGAAGGCGGAGGAAGCGATAGCCGAGCAATCAATGGCGGATATACTTTATCTTACCGAAAACGAAGGCAAATTAAGACTGGATACATTCGTGTTGTGACATTAGTGCATCTTTTTATTTTCGTCATTTTCGTTATGTACGTTATGCAGTTGTTACTGATTGCAGGGATTGGCACAACAATACATGGCCTAATTAAAGAAAAAAAGAAAATTGTTAAAAATTTTTTACTTATATTTATTTGTGATGTATATGTATATACATGCTTATATTAAAAGCTCTTGTATTTTCAATATACATACGAAGTTAATTCAGAAAAAAACAAAGCGAACATTGAATCTCATCAATTATTTATAAATTATTTTTTCATATCAAACTTGCATTATACGCTGTAATTGCTGTATTTATTGTATTGTTGAATCAAAACCTTGCAATTAAAAAATTCAGTCTAACAACAGATGAGAAGGTAATTCAAATATCTAATATTTTGATTAAGGTAGTACACTCGCGACAATACCATCCAAAAGTTAGGTCTCTTCGCGCGCTCCGTGGCGATATTCCCATTGCCGCCAGTGAGAAAAAACATTTGGTTGTGCCTATCCATTGACCGCACGCAGATAAAATTAATTCAGACAGACGCAGACTAACGCAGCTCGACTGGCTGCCTCCTTCACTCGCCTCCATATGTCAATAAAAATCGAAAATTATATTTTTTAAAAGACTCTATTTTCCAAACTAAATGGTAAAAAATTATGAATTTTTTTCATAATATTCATTTCATATTCCTTCATCACATACTCGTTTTTTATTAAAATCTCAATACTAGTTTAGGCTCTACAAAAATAAACGCGACAGTTTTATCAACTTTGTATAGGCGACACGTATAAAAAATGCAATTTTTAATTGCTTATATCTCAGTATTGAGATGGTCAATCTCATTCTAATTGCACAAGCGTGTCAATGACTTCTAGTACAACATATAGTTTCAATTTCAAGAAATTCTCAAAATTTTGAATTTGCGAGTGTACTACCTTAATGTGCTGAACTCTTAAATTTTTTATTAGTCTCTGATCTGTATTATAATACAAATAATTTAATTCCGTTTTATTCTATGTTCCGATTTTGCAAAGTAGTTTTTTTTTATTTTACCTGATTTTGTTTGGTGTACAGAAGACGTTTCATGCATAATGATCTCGTTTAATAAAAGAAATATTATTTATGTCAATCGCAGCGGAATTATGTGTTTATTATGTGATACTTCTGTTATATAAATTATTTTCGCGACTTAAGTTATTATCCTTATATAATTATTCGTTAAATTCACGAAATCATTACACGACATTACTTTCCAAAACCGCCCCTGCAAGCAGGACTCGCAGCCATCGTTTTATCGCTTGCTTTCCACTGTTCTGGTGTTTTTGCCTTGAAAACACGATAATAAACATAATAATATAACTTTTTTTATCTGGCCTTTCAAATAAGGCATAATTCTTCTAATATAGTGAAGGATTTGTTAATAAATAATATTCATCACTTAGGCACTTACTACAATTGATAGAGCATGTACACCTCCTTGGAGTTCCGCTTGCAACAATTGGTTTATCATCCGGTGTCGCTAAATTAATAATTGATTCAGATATCCTTTTCATTATTCTATGCGAAACAACATCTAGTTCTAATCTCGCGATTATTTAAACTTATATATGAGTATTATTTTATTTGCTTCAAATAATGTTACTTTCCTATGATTTATATTTTCATATAGATATCTTATATTTCATCATACAATTAAATAATTCTTTGAACCCAAAAAATGGGTTTAAAATTAATGAAAACGAAATATCAGTAATTAGGAAATTACTAAGAATTGATAATACTTGCCTTAATCAACGGCTGTTTATCGAATTTTTCTGATACAACCACTACCTTAAAGTGCGTCTCAGAGTTCTTGGGAACGTTGTGCATGTAGGACTCATTAATGACGACACAGTGAAGAGGTTTCAGTGCAGCTTCCAGCTTTCCTCTGATTGAACTCTCTATAGGTTTGATCAACGCCTCACAACTGCTCATGTCTTGTCGATGAAATGTACTACAATCTACATCATTGTTTTTTGCTTAATTAACATTCATATTTGTCTTTGCTTTATATGGATAATTAGACGAAAAGCCTTTAAAACTATAATATATTTGAATGCTAAGTTTTTTAAGAAAACGAAACACGTCTCAGTTGCGTATTGATTGCTAACAGTCAGAGTGTCGAGATGCTAGAACAAATATTACTGATTGTGAAAGTGTAAGATACTAATTATAGTTTATTCAAAAGACTTGTGGAAAAGTAAGTTGAGGAAGTCTCACTAAATATTCCAGTGAATAAAACGTTAGTATGCTAGAAGTTTACCGAAAGTGTTAGATATTAGTTTATTTAAGAGATTTATAGAAAAGTAAGCTGAATTCTGGTTAAATATTCCAGTGAAAGCAAAACATTAGCAAGTTTTGCAATAGTTTGCCGGAAGATTCAAGCAGAATATTGCGGTAGACTAGTATCAGTAGTATCGACTGTGACCGCTGACTGCAAGCAGAGTCTGTTGATGTAATCTGACAGCAAATTGCCAGTAGAAATTAAGTAGAACCTGTCATTTTCTAATCATATGAATGGAGTATACCATTTAAATGATTACGAAATGGCACAATCTCTATTCGGTTTTTACAATTAAGCTATTATTATATATTTTGTTAGCAGATTTTGTATCTCTGCTGACATTCTGCCAATAAAACTGTAGTGTAGACATTCTGCTAAGTCCGTTTTTAACAAATTTGGCTATCTGAAATAGAGTATCCTCAATTCTTTATTAATTTTAACGAAATTTTCCCCACGTATATATTTTAGTGTTAGGAATAAACGTGTAATAATAAAAATTGTCATTCAGCATTGCAAGAAGAGCAATAATTGACATTTTAAGGTTAGGAAATTATATCTCCGCGAGTCTTCCAATATAACGCATTTTTATATAATTATTTTATAATTCCTTGTGATTAATTACTTCATCATACGTGTAAGAAACAAATTTGTAATTAAAATATGCGTATAACAATAATACAAATGCAATAATAAAGATGCAATCTTATACACTATCGCAATTCAGCCTTTTGGCTAGTTTAACTTGATTTAATCCTAATCTTGTTTTAGATGTAAAACAATAAAACAATTACTGTAAATACTCACTTTTCCTAAGTATTAATTTTATCAGTCTTGCTTTATGCATTTATTCGCAGCTTTAATTAATATATGGTCCGAGTACTCAGTACTTTCGATCCGTTCTGGAATCTATAACTCGAACTCGAATTCCCCGCTTCTGGAACTCACTCTCGATTGCTATTAGAGTCCCTAGAAGGGAGAGTTTGGCCATTCACTGTTATTTTTCTCATTGGTCAATCCCATATTCCCTCAAAATGGCGTCACCAATCACCTAACATAAAAATTGTATATATAGCACATGATTGTGCTAGAAAATAGATGATGACTAGACACTATAAATGTGTTGTATGATGTATGTGTATGCGTGTGTACATGAGCCACATTACAGACGTCATTTTGTGGGACATGGCCAGACTCTACCTTCTAGGGACTCTAATCGCTATTAGTAGGATACCTCCTCTAGATATTAACTAATAATATTTTATTAATTTATTTATATAAATGTTAAATATAATTGTTAAATGAATGTTGTTGTTAAACGAATCGATTGGATATTTAAGATGAAGAGAAGAATATATAACCGAATTCTATTGGAACGAAAAGATGTCATAAAATTTGTTATTTGATATATTTCAATTATAAAAATGCACAAAAACACGAATTAAAGGTAAATCGTTGCTGTATAAGTTTTTTGGGCGTTCAATACAAATTTATCAAGTTGCTTTGTTGCGTCATCAATTTAGAGGAATTTGTATATCGTATAAAATTTTATATGTATCGCTGTGTTGACAAAAAAGTGATACAATTAATAAATAAAAAAAATTAATTGTGATAATTTTTTTATTGTTCTCACTTTTCTATCATGCGGTGATATTATAACTATAATATAATAATGTATAGAGAAGTTTTATATATATTGCATTCAAAGTAAAGTTAAGTAAATTCTTAGACATTTGAGGTATAACAACCATTAATAAATTGATAATCAATATATAATATATATAATATATATATAATTAATATAGGAAAAGTTTTGTAAGTATTAAAAATAATACTTAATAAAGTATTAAAAAATAAAAATATTAATATTTTTTTATGTTTTTTAAACAATTCAGACACAAAAAAATAAATTAATCTAAATCTATGTAATAATTCTAACAATAGAATGACTTAAAATTTCTAAACAATTCAGTTTTTCTAGTTTAATCTTTATTTTTTCTTCGTGTCACAAACAACAAAAAATTAATAATTGTTTTGCCGATTTATTTTTGTGTAGGGATTTTTACATATTACTTTAATAGATTTGAAAATCTTTTCTAAGATTTAAAATATACGCGTATCGGATGCCCGGAGTTTATGCGAAAAAAATTTTATAATTCAGATCTTTTTAGCTGTATGTGGCGTTTGGAGCTGTCAAGTTGAGGCAACACGTGCTTAATATAAAAACTTTGAAACTCGTACGGTGGTTATAGACTAGTAGATTGGATTGCATGAAGAAACAATATGGAATTTGTATAATTAGATTTAAATACAGTTAAACCTTAATAACTCGACATCTACAACTCGAAAACTTCTATATATAAGACGAAAATTTTGTTTATTCCCTTCCGCTCCACTGCGAAAAACCTCTATAAATCGAAATAAAACCTTAACTCGAATTATTTGTCAGATATTTAGATGTATTATTTTACCTCTGCAACTCGAATTTAAAACCTCTACAAGTCTTGTAGCTATGTATAATCATGAATAATAGTTTTGTATTTTGTTTTATAATTACATTTATATATGCAATAAATAATTCACTGTCAAATATTGATTTTTGTTTGCTTTAAAAGCCATTATAACCGGAAAATTATAAACTCTCGTACAAAACCTCCGTAACTCGAATTTTCATGTTTTAACTCTCTTTGACTCGAATTTCGATAAGTCGAAAACTCTATAACTCGAAGTGTTTTTCTCTTTCCTTGAGATTTGAGTTATGGAGATTCGACTGTATTTAATTTTCAAAAAATCTTAGCACGAAAATTTATTACGTGTGTGTATGTGTGTGTGTGTGTGTGTGTGTGTAAATCGTCGATAAAACAGCAACGCCTTGTGGAGTTTGGTCTTCAATTTAGCAGAAATAATTAATATTAAAAAAAGGATGAAAGAACGGTAATTTTTTAACATAGATTCAGTCTTCTCACTTTCGAAATGTATAAAATATATAAGTTTCAAAAGATCGACTAAATCGCTTCTGTATTAAACATTTTATCATGCCCACTTCATTCTACGCATTAAAAATAAGTGTAAGGATTAAAGGTAAGTTACGGAATAGAGGATTTTCACTGTCAATTAAATTCAGATAAAATTCCTTTGTTTGCAACATTCTTTTTGCTTCTTTATTTGACGTCTTTATTGTTGGGGAGAACAAGCTGCGTCGGTTGATTTTCGTTACAGCTACATTTTAACGAAATTATTAATCGAGCGAGTGACTAGGTGACGAGGGGCGCGACCCCTCTATCCTGATACTTCCTATTATATTTACAAAAAGACGAAGAAAGAAAACAGAAACGGCTTGCTATACACTGTACAATCGAATCTCTACGGTGTTCAGTATATCCGTGTTTACGAAAGACAACTTCGTGACGCAATCCATTGATTTTTCCTTTCCTTTCGTTCTACATGAAGCAATTGAACCATGCAATTAGTTATGTAAACAAAAAAGTATGATTCTACACAGAAATTTGATAGCTTAGTGTAAAGCGCACCGAAGACCGTTAATGTGTTTAATACATTACCGCAGGCATAGTGTTGCAACTAATCTCGTGCGATGATCTTCTATGCGAAGGCACTCCCGAATTCGTTTTCGAATGCAAATAAACGAATATCTTATTTAAGTTTGAACTTTTTACGTAATACAATCACACTAACACGTCATTGTGTGATGATATACTCGCTTCAAATTGATATCATTGACAATTGATAGCATCGGAATTTGAATTGATATGCGTTTGTATATTTTCCATTTGAATTGAAATATGCATACGGATGACTGATAAATTCAGTTATCAGCCTGCGCTTCACACAAGTCAAATTTTGTTCTTTTAAGATACTATCTTTTTTTTCTCAGCTTGAAAAATTGGTCATTAGATTGTCATAAAATCATTTACATAATAACACATCAGATAGGATATTTTGTCGTATAAAAAGTTTTAATTTTTTTTCATTTTTGTCTAAAATATGATACTCAAAGAATTGAAGGCGCGAGTCAATAAAACATCTCGTTAAATCCGTCGCAAGAAATATTGCCGGTTACGCCCTTAAAAATAACTCTAAAAATCGACGGGTCACCCGTTATTCTATTTACACTCTACAATACTATTATACCGAGGATCATGATCCTCTGGATTTTCGGTCACTCGTGAAGTACTGCCAATTTTCGCGAGATTTACACCGCACAAAAATAAATATCTGTGCCAATGGAAACTGCCCGATACTTTTGGAAAATAATAATATTAAATAAAAATATTAAAAAGAAATCAATTATATATAAAACAATAAAAAGCAATTAAGACACTCAAGTATAATCACCGTTATATGCGAAAAATTGTTCCTTAATTAAAATTGCATAAATAATTTCTAAGCTCATTCAATTCACAAATAATTTCCAATATTTTTTGGCGATATAAATTTAATCACAATTTTTCTTATGCTTTTCTTTGGTAAAAATAAAATTTTGTGCTTAAATATATCCTAAGTTTAATATTTTAATTATTTTAAAAAAATAATTTTAATAACATTAACAAATCAGCAGAACTTCTCGAATGATCGTCATATCCATCGATTTCTTTTTAATCTAATTAATCACTTTCTAATTAATCACTGACGCGAGAAAGCTCTTTTCATGGCGTCACTACACCGCTTAACCCTTTAACCGAAAATTAATCCATCAAATACATTTTACTTGTTCATAAACAAAATCACTTATTAAAATGAACATTTCTTATTGTTTGCCAATAAAAGATACTAAAATTTATTCCAATATCTCTTAAGAATATTTCATAATTTTTAAATTACTGTATTGAATATTATCGCACAATTAAATACGTAAATATTATTGAGTTGAATATAGAAATAATTGTTTAGTATCACACAAATACCTTTCTTTAAAATCTCTAAAATTTTCTTTAAGAATGCGATGATGACTCTTAAGATGACTCTTTCAAATACAGTCTCTAATACTTTATAATACTTTATTCGTTGAATATGTATTGAATAGCAATTAAAGGGTCAATGCAAGCGCACAAGTGAAATATCACGTCAGCATTACAATAAAGCGGACTCAATATGAGCCGTCGTAATAGTTCGATAATTTTAAATTGACCTATCTTATTATTTCGAGGCGCCGCATTCCGTTCTGACGGCGGGAGGACCCTTCAGATTCTCGAATCCTAGAACCTCCTTCAGACCCCTGAGGATTTTTAGGAACACCAAAGTCCATTCGTTGATTAAATCGTACATTCCCATGGACTTTTGTCCAGAGAGATCGCTACATTTTATTTACAGTTTGACGTCGGCGGCCTCGAAACCAATTACGGGAACGAGATAGCGGGCGATCGACTTCATTCATATATGAACCGAAAGGGTCAACTAAAGCCCAAGAAAAAATTCACATACGCGTAACACGAAATCAAAGCCAAAGTGAATCAAGCTTGTTTCATCCGTAAAGTTTACTTTAAATACGAAATCATATTCAAAGAGAACTTTCTTAAATTATAATATCTGACCTACTTTAGCTTCGAAGGACACTTTATATACTTATAACTGAATAAAATACGGACTGTCGCCGGTTCCGTTCTGCTGCCGAAGAGTTGTGATACGATACGACGCATACCACGAGCAGCTGCAAGTCTTCCCATTCGGTATACGACTAGTTTGCACTTTAATAGGAAAATGTGTACGCTCTGTTTTTTTTTCTCTTAATAAATAACTTAAAGTTTTACAGTTGAATTTTTCCCTCGAGATTGCGACTTCTGAAGCTGTAAAAGAGCGAAGTTCGATCCGCGACTAGCTAAAATCGCAGGAGTCGTACTTTTGTGGAATCCGCAAGATTTCCCGAATAATCGATCGCACGCCGCTCGTACCTTCCGTAAGTCCAGCCGACGCGCTAATACTAGTTACTACTACAAGTTACTACTTCAAGTACGGCGAACTGTCGGCTATTAATTAACTGCGCAAAAAAAAAACATATACGCAGAAGCTACGAGGTAACTCGCTTTGTCGCACCCATGTATCGCGGTTTCCTCGCGGTATCAGTCTCATGAGAAGGCGCTTGTGGAATAAAAGAAGGCACTTCGTTGCAACTTCTTCAGGCACACTTTCTGATATGTCAACTATTAGCCAAATCAACTACCTGCGCCATTCCTTCCCCGAACTTTCTTCTGTCTCTTTATACGCTTCTTTCCACTATTCTTTCGATTTTCATGTCACTACCAGCTTTTTTGTGTTTCCACCATTCACCTTTGTTATCCTTCCTTCACGTCTTTCCTAATCCCTCTTTTCATTTCAATTTCATTCACCTCAACTTCTTGACTAGAGCCTCTTCCTGCTTTTAACAATACTCTTCATGTTTTTATCGATCCTTCATCGATAATTTTCAGTTTTCTCTTCGGGGTTTTCAGGCTTTCGGGACAGACTTTTTGGCCATCAATAGACATAGATAGTTTTTAACTGATCCTTCAGCTCGGGAGGAATGGCACAGGTATCCGTCTCTGCTTTCCGCTTCACCAGTCGACGCCAGCGTCCACCGAGATTCTTGCGGAAGCCCTTTGCAAACCCAGGCCGGTCCGACGGCAATGCATGTACAAGGGTATCCTGCAAAATTAGAGAGACCCTGTTTTATGTATTCATACCATTAATCCATACGTAAATAAACCAATAATGAGTTATGTGAAATATACAAAAGTATGTCGTATTATTCATATCGCAGGTTCAAAGTCTGTGAAAATAAATGCGATAAAATAAATCGATTTGAAATACAAGAACACTTTTGTTGAGCTCTGAAATATTTTAACTGGATACCATATTTTTTTATGAATTTGTTAAATATCTATTCACATTTCTAAAACGCGATTTGTGTATAATTCTTCTTTCGCAATCGCTAAAATATCTAATGGCTTAAAAAATAAGTAATTATACAGAGATCATTTAATTACGGAAATCATATATAAAAGCCTCGCCACTTAAAAGTTTGCTACATAAAGTTTGCATTGTTGGCTAGAATCGCGGCGACTCCAACGACCTGCCAATCTTGCGGACGGAGGAACGGTATTTCGTGAACTCGACAGCTGCACCCTATTCGGGGTCCGGCTGGTAAGCGGCGGTAGGTAGACGCCCACCGGCGACGCTAAATTTAGCGCCAGGCCAGAGAAGCATCGAGAGCTGCACCCATTTCGCCAGTGTATTTATACATACATTCTGCAACTTTATTATATCTCGCGTGATAATTTTATCGCTAAACTACGACCGTAAAATTAATCAATGTCGTCGCGATGCCTGCATTACAAAAATTTGCAATTCATTGTTATTGAATTTATTACTAATTAAACGTGAATGTATATTGTTGATACACTTTTAATTTCGTACTCGATGTCACGCTAATGCAATAGAAATATATTTTTTAATTTAGTAGCGAGAATAGAAACTATAAAAAAAATTATGTTTTATTAATCTACTGACTAATTGGCGTAAAGTTATTAAAAGCGACGGCTATTTCAAGCGGTCTATATAAAGCCGCCCTTCTAATTCATTAATTCTTTCTAAATAAAAAAATTAATTTTCCTAATTGCTAACTTACAAGCTCCCCCTCACAAGATCGATAAATTACGCCGTGACCTAATTGTGATGGCAACCTTCTCAATAAAAAAAAAAAATCTTTAATGTTCCGTCATTTTTTACGAGGTCAAACAAATTATGAAAAGGAAGCAATGTTATTTTAATCGTCGCGATCGAATTCACTTCTCCACGTTAGGTTAGGACGGTAAAAAGCGCATCGCAGTTGCAGCCAATCAGCAATCGCCATTCGAACGGCGGGAATAATCGATCGTCCGCAAAGTAGCGTGAAACCGCGATGGCCGCGGGTCACTGTCCCGACTATCGATTGACGAATAGGCTTCTTATTCCCTCTCCTCCTCCTCCCCCTGTCTTACGGAGGGTGCATTGGAAAAGATGGAAATCAAACAGTTGGAATGACAAGACTGTAGAAATTCTTCTTTTAGCAAAGCTTTTTTTGATCACTTACGGAATTATAGAAACATAACAGAATTTTTCAAATTTTATTGTCCCTTTAATGTCAAAGTATATATATTTCGGCGCTTTGAATAAAACTGCATGATTTCAAAGAACAAGATTTTTGTGTTTGTTTCGATACGTATTACAAAGTCTTTTCAAAAACGTCTCGTAAGTCTTACTTTCAATTAACTTCAAAATAATAATCTCTTTGATTTTATTAAAATTTAGAGCATAATTAAGTCTTTAAATTATACCGAGGATTAAAGTTGAGAATTGTAGATAAAGTCAGTATGTCATCACTGAGGAAGAAAAAGGGAAAGCAAGTCGTACAAGTCTTACTATTTAATGTATATATACCGCGCGTTTCTGTCATGGGGAAAGTCACCCTTATGGAACAGCGACCGCATCCATCGCTTTCTATGCTTGCGGATCTTTTTTCGGGTGTCTCCGGTCGATATACCGCGCGTCCCCGAGTCGTTGGACAACGTAGCAGGGGGAAACCAGTAAAATCTAGTAATACTGGCTCCACCGGTTAGTCGGTTAGCCGTTGTGACGGTTAGATAGACCGATAGATCGCGAGGAGCGATTAGGAACAAAGTTTTGTGCTATTGACTTGAGCTAATCGCGTTTTATCCGGCAAACGTGACTCGAAAGAAGTATCTGAAAAAATTCTTTTCCGTATTAATATGAATAAACGGATACGAAAAGTCTATTGAACCATTTTACCGTATAATATTTTGATTATTTTTATATATCTCCTACATTCGTGTACAATCAATTCTGCGAGATTGAAATCGATACGATTGCGATACCTGCCATTCGTACGAATAAATGTGATTATTATAGTAGATAAATAGTACAATATAGTAGAACACAGTAGATATATAATATAGTAGAATACAGTATAGTATAGTCATATAATAGTATAATATAGTAGATAAATGGAGATTATTTTTGCATCTACTTTGCATTAATATTTGAATTCAAGAGATTTGGATTAAGAATATATCGATAAGAGTAAGGAATATATAGAGATTATTACAATATAACAGATTTCGAACTCTTTATATACGATTAATGTTAAAAAAAAACTGGCGCTTTCGATCGTCACTTTTTTTGTTTCTTATACAAGACTAATAAAAAATATAAAAGATTCTAAAAAATAAAATAAATTAGATACTTAAATAAAGTTAAATAGCAATACAAAACATTAGAACAATTTAAAGTACCTTGTATTATAATACAATAAAAATATTTGTAATATTCTTTATAATGTAACATTCGTTTTTATCACAAGTATACAAATATTACGAAACATAAAAATCGGAAAAGTTTCGAATACGTAAAAAGATATTTGAATCGTCTTAATCCGATATTCAAATTCTTTTCTCCAAGAAAAAAAAATCAGAAAATCGCGATTCTTCAATACTGGCGAGAAACAACAAAAGTTGAGAACCGCCAGTCGAGAGCGCCAGTATATAAAATACAAAACGTACAAGGTGTGCACCAACCTGATCGTTGTACAACGCGTACTGCGCCGGCGGCATATGGGGGGGCGGGTACGGGGGCGGGAATTGCCACGCGAACGGATCGACTGGATTGGTGGACGGCGTCACCGTCGTCGCGAATACATGCTCGTCGCAAACGCTGTTGCCGAGGTCGGTTGACATGGTGGTCGTAGACATCTGCGTGCAGCAACCGTCCGGATGCGCCGGTGCCGTCCCGATCGTCGCGAGCGACGTCGCTGTCTGCACCACCGTCGCCTCGGGGTGCACCGCACCCGCGCTCGAATGATGGTCCTCGCGCTTCCGCAGCTTGCTGCGAACAAGGCGAATCGCGACCATAGTCCCGTTGCTCCCAACCATCTTCCTGCACTTATGGTACAACCTCGCGAGCTTGCCTGCCTTTGCCGCGATCGCGTTCCCGGTACCAGGAAGCTCGTTGGCAGCGGATTGCTTTAAGCTCTCCAGGGTATCACACGAGTTCCTGCAGCTCAGAGGAACGAGTCTCAACGAGAGACTTCGAAAAATCAGAAATCCGTATAGATCTCGCGAGGCCAAAATTCGCGGATTTTACGAGGTACCTAAGATATTTTGCGAGATCCAGGCTTCGAAAAACGAGAGCTTTCGAGGCACTCGAATGCTTCGAGCCCTGAAATTCCGAGAAACTCCGAAGTTACGCAAGTCGACACTGTTTTTATGGAATGCGGTGATTCGAGTACGTTCCATTCGAATTGTCAAGGATTCCGACTATCGAGACGTTCCGGATTTCCCACGAGCGACTTGGAAATTCTAAAATATGAGGAAAAGAAATGAACGTGGATGGACTTTCCTCACTTGTCAGTCTATTATCTCTTTCTCTCTCACACGGATTTTACACAGCGCGGGGAGCTCTGTCGTCCAAATCAGCTGTCTTCCTTCACGTCCGAGAAACGGATTTCTCTGTTTCTCTCAAGATCCCAAATCAGCTGTCTTCCTTCACGTCCGAGAAACAGATTTCTCTGTTTCTCTCTAGATCTTTATTCTCTCTAATGTGATCTCGTTACCCGGCTAAATCGGAGTTTAGAAACACTACAATCGTTCTTTCTCTCCAATATTCTTGCATTCATGCGTCTTTCACGCGGACATGAATGCGGACCTTTACCTCAAAGTCTCTCTCTTTCTCTCCTATCAATGTACTTCGCGTCTTTTGTTCGTCTCCCAGAGTTTTAAGAACACACATTAGCTTCTTTCTAGGTTACTCTCCGTCTCTGTCGCACGTACAATTTCTATTTCCGGCCTCGCTCTATCGAACGGTTTTACTAACGCACTTCCAACGCTCTCTTTGTCGACCTTCCGCCTCACTCGTAGCTAAGGATATCACCGTTTACACTTGCGCGATACTCGCACTGACTAGCTTCGTGAATCCTTGGCACTCGATCATTCGGTAGGATTCCTTTTCTCTCTCTATCCCCCTGTCTTTTTTCGTTTATCTCTTCTACGCGCACGTGGACACGCGATTTCGAAGGAACGGCGTCGTCTCTCACTGCTGAAGGGCCGCCGCAGCCGACGTAACTCCGCAACTACCTCTGTCCACTCATCGCTTGCAAACCCAGCGCGCATCTGAATCGTCGAGCGATGCGTGGTCGTCTCTTATTATAAAGAGTCTTATACCGCTCCCGTGACGTCACGCGCGCGGGCAGCCGGGATTGGCGCGGGTCGCGCGCGACAGCCAATCGCTACCGCGGCGAAATTCAAACGGTATACGGCGCCCGCCCGCCCGCCCGCCCGCTTGCCGCTCGTCGCGTCGCCGCGCCACGGCTTGCGCACGCACGTCGTCGTCACAGTTGTCGCGCCGGAACGGAAGGCCGACCGGGCGGACTTACGACCTTACATCACGTAATCGCGACGTGTAACTGACGGCGACGCGACACGACACAGCGGCTGCGGTGGTTGCGACCGTGGCCTCTTGTTTCGTCGTCGTTTCTAACGTTTCTTTTTTTTTTTTACTCGGTGTTTCTCTTTATACGATGTATTGCACATGTTACGTACCGCGATGTATTGCAATGATTAACAGAACATATTTAGCATATAATCGTCCTGGCCCTATTCTAAAGCGAATTTATGTGTTTGAAGGCCGTTCTTTTTTTTTTTCATCTTCGTGACAGTTCTCGCGGTACAGGTGTGTGTAATATATTCAGCTTACTAGTTTTACGAAAAAATTCGCCATGTATCAACGTGAATTTTAGTGCGAGATTATATCGATTCGTGGATTACAATCGACAAATTTTATCTATTAAATATTTCCACGAATTAATTCAATGCTTTACTCTTGAATGGAATAAAAAATGAAATTAAATTTAATTAAAGATCAAGTTATTATTACTTTTAACGGTAAAGTGAAATTTTATCATACAAATTACACAATTGTACACAATTACACAAAATGTACACATTAAAAAAAAATTTATTATTTTATACATTTAGTAAAACGAAAGCACGTATAGAATTTTTAATGTAAACGCATAAGACATAATTAAATTAAGTTAAATTAATTTCAATTAATACAAACAACTTGTACTGAATGGATTTAACGTCAGGTCAAAACAAAAATAAAAGGAAGAATTATTAAATAAAATAAAGCCAATTTTTTCGTAATCAATCATATCAAAAGATACTGTCAAATTTAATTAACTCAGATAAGATGAAATCAAGCCGAATCAAAATTGCACTAAATTTAAAATCGAGTTTAATTCGAAGAAACTAACAAATAAGAGACAAAGTAATTGCGAGAGAAAGAAAAGGGGGAAGGGTTTCGTTCCAAATCGCACGAAGTTTATCAGACCGCGATAGGAAATAATAATTTAGAGACACTACTGTGTCCGCGATTATGCAACGGCGGCTGTGAGAGGATGCCTTTATTACTTTACACAATACGCACATAGAGCTCGTCTGTTATACGTTACATGCGCAACGCTTATGCTGACCTAACAATAACAGCAAGGTCCTCATCTTTAAATCGTGCGCATTTGTATACGTTGCCTTTACTATCGGAATTCCTCCGGCCAAGTTACGTTGGAACAGAACAGAGAGAAAAGAGCAAAATAAGAAGCAAAATAAGAAAAACAGCACAACGTATTGAATCTCAGGCATGGAATTTGATTCAATTTGAATTGAACGGAATAAAATAGAATGAACATAAAGAATTAAGTCCACTTCAGACAATTTATCATTCGCGTCAGAATAATTCAAGATAGCAGTATATTTATAATTTCACATGTAGTGAAATACGAAGAACAATTAAATAATCTCATACACAAATATGTATATATGTATATAAAATATACATATATTAAAATACAAACATATTACGCAGCGCACAACATTATAAATATAAAATTCTGTCTCTCGGAGAGTCTGAACGCGAATTGTAGAACGTCTAAGGTCAACTCAAGAAAACGCAAGGAAAGATTGATTTTTGATCTTTGATGTTATAACCGGATTAAATAAGAATAGAAATAGTAGACTAGAATAAAAAAGAGAGCCAGAGAAGAAGACAAAAGAATCTATTATACATATGTTATCTCGGCTGTTCTCCGCTCATTTTGAAATCTATTCTCGTACATGACAGCACACAGATAGGAGATCCCGATTCTTAGAGCGAGTTACTCAAGACTCGGTTTTTCACCGAGATGCGGATACGAGAATATCTATTATTAATTGATTATCACGCACGCAGGTGCGATAACGAATGAATCACACGATCAGATTTAGCGCAAAAACAATGAATGGCAGAAAGAGGAATATTGAACCTCATTGTGAAGAAAAAATACGAAATCTAGATTTCTCAGAAAAATTATATTTTGTCGCTGGTGTTGGTGCCGCTGCGAAGCGACAGAATCATCATGTTTACAAGTGCGGCAGATCGTAGATCATTCAGTTCTATCATTAATCAGTTGGTGAATAAGATCAAGCCGGCAACATTGTGCGTTTTGACAATTCGTAAAGACAGAGCTTATCTACATCAGAATCTATCAGAATAACGAAAATGACAAAGGATTGTGATAATTATGAAATTTAGATATCATTTAACATCAATATTCATCAAAATTATAATGTAAACAGCTATTTCAATTATATTTTCGTTTTTATTGATTTAACTGTCCAACTTATTTTGCCGATGATAGATAACTCTAATGTTAATATTTGATTTTAAAACGAGAGAAGAACGTTCCTCACGTATAAAAATTCTCGATAAAAGACGTGCTCGTGCTTTTAGCGGTCGGCGAGAATAGAAACGTCTCGAGTTTCAATTGTTTCAAAGACATGCGATTAAGTGTAAAAAAAATCAATAAAATAAAAACAAAAACTATTCGTGAGTTAAGCATTTTTAAGTTTTGTTAAATTTAATTCATAATTGTTCGCGTAATTTTCCAATATTACGTATGAAAATTCTGTCAGTCTCCTGGAAGTTGTCGCAATGTATTCAGACTCTGTGTAATATAATGATTAAGAAATTATAGAAATGTAGCGAACTGATAACTAAGATACTTTTCAATGCCATATACAATTTTTATTTAAAGGGAATTAGTGTTTTAAATAGTATGTATTGGAAAAACACATTTTAATAATAGAGATGCAAAATTGTAACAAAAATATTAAAATGAACAATGATGGCATCTATATAATTATTACAATCCAATGGGCATCTGTATGATGGCTAAAATTTTATCTTCGATAAATTATCTGGGATAAAAAATTGTTTATTTTTACATTTATTATTTTTAGTTCACAAAGGGAATTAAAAAAAATTTTTTTTGCAAAACTAGACACATATAAACGTCGGAATTGCGTATTATTGTAAAAAATTTCTTTTTATCTTGAAATTTTTTTGTTATATTAAAAAAAAATGATTGAAAGCGTCATTAGAAAACTTTAAATTGACCGAATAAACCGTGTTTGAACAATCGCGATTTCGATGTCGATTTCAAAAATAATGTTTTGAGAAGAGCGCTGTTTGAAGTCTTACAGGGACGTAAATTTTGTAATTTTTAACAATTTACTTACACTTACTTATTATAAACTGCTTACTAGCTCCATTTTTATGACTAAAGTAGTGAAAAGTAAAAAAAATTTCGATTGCAATTTTTCGAGTCTCATAACTGATAAAATTCTTTTTTAAAGATAAGATTCATTCTTTGGTTAAGGTCGACAACGTTGCTCTGATCTGCAACGGATGGAGAGACAGCGTCTCGACGGTGTCTCATGATGACGACGACGTTCTGGGAAAGAAATGTCGAAAGGGAAATGCGAGCGCCTCACGAGCCTGGCGTTGCCTTTATCTCTATTTCCGTTCGGCGCACGCCAGACGTACCGTTTTCAGCCACGCGTCCCGATGCCACGCGACACTCTTGGACGGACAGACGGACGGACGGACGGATGGATAAACACGGATGCTCTCGGGTTTCGACTTCTTTATTTCACTTCTGCGTCTTTATCTCTCTCTCTCTCTCTTAATTTACTTCTGCATGTGCTTTTTATACATCATCGCGAGAAAACATCTATACGTTAATGTTAAGAGCTGAAAAAAGACAAAGGGATAGAATACCTCTGAATTTGCGCATAAATGCGCGGAATCTGCAATCGTGAGAATTTTCGAGAATAGAAAAATCAAATTACAGAGATACCGTGTTACATTAAATGCGCTAAGTGAAGAAATGTTCATTAAGATATTATAGGGAAATTTACTCGCTAATATGTGTGAACGGTTTTAGAGACTTCACATTCTAATAAATTAATTTTTGTTTCTTCCTAATTCCAATTTTAAACAATTATATCAGTCTTGAACAAATTAATAATGTATTTTCAATCATTTTAACAATATTTGCCTGTTGCAATTTATTTAGTATGCATAAAAATCACTGTAATTGATTCAAATGAATACTGTCTTATCGATTATTTCTTGCTCATCATTTATCTTTATGTATGTATTACAGGTTAAGTCAGGTCTAATGAAAAAAATGTTTTTATCAAGAGAATTTTCGAGAAATCTAATTTCCATTGTTAAATTTGCTTCTCGCAATTTACTAATTTAGGATGCATCGTATTTTACAAGCGTTGTGCTTAATCGACATTGCTATTAAACATAGAAAAGAGAGAGAAAAGTAGAGAAAGAGAGAGATAGAGAGACTCAAGAGAGACGGTTGGCCTTAATTGACGATTTTCAGCGCGCAATTCGTCGATGCGAGATCTAGTTAGCGGTCGCAATTATTGCGTATTCGTCACGTGAAATTATTCCATTCGTCGCTATTTTTCTTCCATCTGTATTTTTCCTAGTGCGTTTTAGCACTGTGCTGCATTTAACGTCACTCACGAGGCTGTACCATCACACTTGTGCTCTAACGTGAATTACTTAATTAACATTATTAATAGCTCAACCTGTAATAAACTAGAAAACGGATATGAGGATAGGATGAAACATACAATTGTTGATAAGATTGTTTAAGTTATTGATAAAAATTATTTTATAAAAAAAAAAGATAAAATATATTTTGTGATAGTAATTTTATATTAATATATAATAGTATAATTTGCTGGATGAATATAATGTTACAAAAATTAATAAATTAAATTAGTATATTAATTAATAAAACATTAATATGTTAATTTCAAAAATAGATGAATTAGTATATTAATTAATAAAACGTTAATACGTTAATTTTAAAATTTTCTAAATTGTTACTAATAAATAGGTCGATATCTCTAATATTTATTTACAACAAGAAAAAAGACATTTTTGTGTCTGATAAATATTAGAACGGATGTTTTCTCATTGCATATCGATCATTATTTAATATTTTATCCAGCCAGTTTTAAAGTCGTCAAAATAAGATAAAATAATCAAGATAGGATATTAATAATCCATGCATGCATATGACAGAGAATCCACGTCGGAATGGCCTGAAGGCAATTTTTAATGGCTATTATAGTAGATGGATGAGGTTCATTATGAGATTGTTGATAAAAACGTCAACAATGAACGATAATATGTGATAAAGTGCCACTTACCTGATCGTTACGGCGAGCAGGACGATCAAGACGCCCACCAGAACCATAGCGATCAGCACTCCACCTATCATGTAGATACTACCGGTAGGTGGATCTGCAACAAAAAGAAACGAAATAAGTGATAGTCTTATCGCTCTGACCTTACTCAGGACAAAGAAAGAAATTTTTTTTCGTTAAACCACTCAGATTCAACATTCGGAACGTGTAGGAGACATCATTCATTCAAAAATAAAACATCTGAGGTAACCTTGCGTTTAAAAGTTACTGCATCCAAAATTTCAAGGCAATCTAAGCATACCACCATATAAATATAAACAGTTAAATTATTTCCTAATACGTTCAATCATTTGAATTTTCAACAATCAACGCGTATCAAGAAGTAAGGAATTCAGAAACTCAACGTGCACGGTCAACTTAAGAATCTAGAAAGTTTAAAGTAATCAAGCTGGCATTAATTTAATAGACGGGAGGGAAAGAGATGCAAGTTGCCTATGAATCGTTCCGGTCATGATTATTTCATGGGACCTGGATAGATCAAGGAGAGGTTGGCGAAGATGGAGAGCGAACCGCGATTCGAAGCGAATTCGTTCGATCGAAGAGGACGGTTTCCCGGCGAAGGCCGTGCCGAGCCACATTTTTCCTCGAGTTTCTCTCGTGACCGCGAAGGAAGAAGAAGAACCCGTCGTCCTTTCAAGTTCAACGCCACGCTTCGCGAGCTCGACTTGGGGCAAAAGGGATTGCATGAAAAGAGAGATTCGCTGCGACGCGCGACACGGTCGCGCGCGAGGCGTCTCCTGCTCTTCGTGAGATCCACCGAATTCCGTCAAGCTCTCCCATTAAGCGAATTTTACAGTTTCTCGCTGGATCCGCTCACTTGTTGAACTGCTTCGAGACAAAATACGTCATACGCAACTTCTCGCGTGATTAATTCGTAGAAGCGACACGCGTAAACGCGAAATGCGTCTTATTTATCGCGCACAGCAAAACGAAAACAATCCTTGGAAAACGAAAGAAGCTATTTTAACTAGGGCCGTTACTTTTTATTTACTTCGAATATTTGAAGTTAATTTCAACTTTTCAAAGTTTAACGGATGTTGGTGTGTAATAATTTTTACTGTTACAATATCAAGCCACATACAAACTGTGTGCCGCATAAACTGTCGGTCTTGAAACACAGTTCTTACATGAGGTCTGAATCCACTGTAACAAATTAAATTGTCGAACAATTTCGATGCTAATAAGCATCTGTTAAGAATCTTCTCCCCCCC